ACAGGAACCCACAAGTGTTCACTGTGAAATAAACAGTGTTTCAGTATCATGTATTACTCTCTATAAATTACTTTCATTTCTCACCAATTACTTCCTCTTTTATACCATTCATTTTCTGCATTTCCTCTCATTTCTCTCCTCTTAATCATTATTAATGTAATTGGTTTTAGACAGAAATACTATTTTTGTACCTACTTATCTATGGTGTCTTGTGAAACACAGCTGACAGAAACCTTAACTTGGTAAGAATTCCCGTTTTTCAAAATGAGTCTTGTTATGTTAGCTCAGCACTGTATTTAAATTGTTTTTTGTTACAATAGGTCTCACTTGGACTATTTGGATAGTTCAGTACTCTACATGGTGAGGTGGAATTGCACTAATAAAATCAAGCAGCAAGCACATTTCATCTGCCATTTCGGGCTTTCAGTGCTTCATAATTAACTTTAGCCAAAAATTACCCCTTTAAGCCCAAGGGATTAATTCTCCCTTAACTATATTTGTGCATTATAGAAAAAAACAGTCATCCCCTGGCTTCCTGGCCTTGGATGAGCAATTTACTGCATTTTCAACCTACAATATCTGTGGATGAATTCCAGGTGTGTGCTTGCCCCTCATGGAGTGAATTTCATGCTGTCTGACTTCTTTTTATTTAACTCTGGGAACAGAAATACCCCAGAGCAGGTTTCCAAGCTGCAGCACGAGCTGGGCATTTGTACTTCAGGCAGCTCTGCCCCAACCCCACCCCATCCCCAGCCTCCAGCACCTGGCACTTCAACAGCATCCTCCTGAGACTTTTATCTTCTATTTCATCACCCACCTTTTAATCCCTTCCCCTCCAACTATTTCCTTCTTCCTTATTCACTGGCTAGCCCAGCCTTTATCCCTCACCTCTGCAGAGTGCTGATCTGGTGTTTGATGGACAATTTCTGTTTGCATCTCTGGCATGTATTTGTTTTTTGGAGGAATGTAAATAGAAAAAGGCAGGTGATTCCTGCCAATGTCAAAGAGAGGTTCTCAAGGCAGCCTCTTGACAAGTTACCTGGGTGCTGCTCAAATAATCCAGTGAGAAAAGGTCATATTGAATTCAAATTTTATACATAAGCAATCACATTACCATATGTCAAAGGCACCAACCTGCTTTAAAAAGCATCAATGCAGATGAGTACAAATATTTCAATGTCCAAACAAATCTCCCAAGCCCTCCCCCTAAACTATTTTGGGACGATACCAGATGGCAATGCTAAACATCCCAAGTATTTAAAATTAATTTGGATTTGTTTGCTTTCCTTTTTACAGCTTTTGACCAGTTTAGAACCCAACAAACAACAACAAATACATTCAGGAGTCTACAATATGTAGAAACATGAAGAAGTTCACAAAAGTAAATCAAAAATTTGTCAACCATCTCTAGTTTTTAGGTCACTATTAAAGAATATTGTAGAGTCTAGTTAAGAAACATGAGCTGTGAATTATACTCTGAATTAAACAAGAAATTAATGAGGTCTGGCATTCCTAGCACAGTGGATATTGAGCAGGAATGTCTCAGGGTTCCTGAGTCTGCAGCAAAGTCCAGTGCTGGCTCAAACCAGCACAAAAGCAAATCTTGGAGCCTTGAGAGGGGCTCAGCATGTCAGGAAAAGGCTGTGCACATATTCCCACTGGGATTCTCTCCTAAAACACTGCAAAAATGTTTTAAAAATGACACTGAGCCAAGAGGATCACCAGGATGATGAGCACCTGAAAGAGCAGCTGATTTAACCATAAAGCTGAATGATGAAAACCATTCACAGCCAAAGGGACAGAAAGCCTGGTGAGAACAAGTGTCCTGTCACCTGGAGATGTCAGCTGTGGTGACACAGGTGTGACTGCAGGCCTTGGGCACATGAGTGGCACGTCCTGTCTGTCCTGCCAGTCTGTCTGTCCAGGAGAGGAGGAAGGCAAGGAGGACACCCAGCTGTCCTGGCTGCCAGCTGTGACAGGAGCAGCTGGTCTCCTCTATTTGTGACAGCTGCCACCTCATTTTGGAATCTAACAAAAGAAGAGGAGTGGGCACTGACAAGAGCAAAGGGAGAAATCCCCAGTGGATCATAATCCTTGCTTTGGGATAAAGGTGGAGGCTGGTGGTGCCTGGGGCACCTGCGGCAGCTGAATGTGCACTTTCCACCTGAGAAGTTCAGCCTAAGCAGGAAAGAAAGCACTATTTATTACAGAAAAAGGTCTTTTAGAGGCAAGCCAGCTACTGAGGGTGCGATTTCACTGCTGCTTCCCCAGCAATGTGTGACAGCTCAGGGCCCATCTCATCCAGCCCCATTTCACTGCAGCATCTTTGCAAATAGGCAAAAAGGACACCTTATGCACACACTCTGCTATCAAAATAGGAAGGAAGCAAAAAATCTCCCCTCAGAGTGAGATTATTTTCACTATTAACTCTGTACTGCCCCCAAAAGGCACCGTTTTACCTAAGAAGCAGCCAATGATCCAACATGGAGAGAGAAATGGATGGATCTTGGTCTGGGGAGCAGCAAAGCATTTGCTCTTGGAAAACCTTGCTTTCCCTGCACACCCTACACCACTGGTTCTTTTCTCCTCAGAATGCTGTTAGAGCATTTATTTTTGCCAAGATAAACTTGTCAGAAGCACACAAAGTATTTTAGCACTTTCTGGGACCTTTTTTCCCCCAGCTAAATTCTATTCAATAATTTTCCTTTAAAAAAAATACAAAAACCACAACAGATTTTAAAGGATTTTTTCACCCAGTCCACTAATTCAAAAGGAAATCAGTTACCTAACAGCTCTCCACATAAAACAAGTGAAACAACAACATGAATTTAAAGCAGATCAAATATACTGAATCAATCCCTTGCATGGATACTGCCATTAATTCATTTCAATTTCATTTAGCTTAATTTGCTTTGGAACAGAAGCATAGTCAATCAGGTTAAAGCTCTTTCAATTCACATTTTTCCCCTCCAATACCACATCCTACACTTATTTGGATATTTTTCCCCCCTTCCCATTTTAGAAAAGCCTCAAATCACCACAAACTTGGACCTAAATCTCGCATCTCTTTTGCACTTCTCAAGACTTGGTTTTATAAATTTCGGTTCTTGTAAAAGATTTTGCAGGGTTTTTTTTTTTTTGCTTTGCTCTTGTTTTTTGGGGGTGGGTTGTTTGTTTTTGTTTTGGGGCTTTGTTTGTTTGTTTTTGTGGGTTTTTTTAAAATGAAAATGTCAGTAAACATGGGCTATGCCAGAAAGCCTCAGTCACCTGGAGGTCACCTAGAAATCCATGTGCTGGTGCCTTTGCTTGGCTTTTCCAGGGAAATCAAGAGCCTTGCCCCACCACTCCCTGCCCTCAGTCTCCTTTCCCCACACCAGCCCCTGCCCTGCCAGCTGCATGTCACGGTGAGTAAACACCACATTTCCTCTTTTTTTAAAGGAAGCAGACCCAAACTGGGAAAACCACGAGGCAGGGTTAAAGTCCCCGCCTGGAGGAAGAGAATAAACTTTCACAACAAACCCAATCACGCCTCCACTGCTGCTGTCTGACAGATGATCCCCAGAGTGGGAAATGGGAACAATTAGAGGGTTTCCTGGGGGAAACTGAAAGGTAGAGACAGAGCCAAGGGAAGGCAGGTGGGATATTCTTTATCTTCCCTGGTGACCTAGCTGAGCCATAACTATCCCTGGTATCAGAGCAGGGGATCCATGAGAGGTGCTCTCTCTCAGCCCCCTGCATCTGCAGTAACCCAGCAGTGCTCATGCTCAACTTCAGCTGGCTCAGGATTGCTCCATCCCCAGCCCTTTCCAGCAAAGGAGAGTTGGCAACCCAAGATTTAAGGACAAAATGTCCTTCTCCTATTTTTTTTTTTTAAATTGTTTTTATTTTTATACTTCTCTCTCTGTCACTGTCAGATTTTCTGGAAAAATCCCTTCACCAGGATTTCTTCTCCTGGGAAGCTGAGAAGCCTCAGAGAAAAAGGAAAACAATCTTATCTCATTTGCTTCTTCTGTGTTTTGCTGCTTTGGAATGTGGTTTGGGCAGTGTTTATCCAACATGTGAATTGTTTTGACTTAATGACCAATCACAGTCAGGCTGTCGGGACTCTGGAAGGAGTCAGGACTTTTTCATTATTATCCTTTAGCCTTCTGTCTATATCCTTTCTTTATTCTTTAGTATAGCATTGTTTTAGTATAGCATTCTTTAATATAATACAATATCATAAAATAATAAATTAGCCTTTTAAGAACATGGAATCAGATTCTCAATTCCTCCTCCGTCTGGGGAACCCTGCAAATACCAAACTCTCTCCCTCTCTCTCTCTCTTTTTCTAAGGAGGGATAATTTGAGTATTGAGGCAAACCCCTACAGCACTCTTAGTCAGAAATATCAGGAGATTCAGTCAATAGTTTTTTAGGCCATATGATTATTATCTTTCCAGAGGCTAGTGATTCAACTTAACCTGTAGTGCCACACTTTTTAAAAATTATTTTTAAAAATGAAGTAAATATAACACTCGGCCTGATCTTGAGGGCAGAACTGTTTATTCCCCCATGGCACAATGCTGTCAGGAGTGGCATCTCTGCAAGTGCCAGCAGTTACACATGTGCACAGCTGTGCCCTGTGTAGGTCAGAGAGGGTTTGCAATTCTGCAAGTCAGATAATGCTGGAGAACATTATCCTTTTGCCTGCTGCTACTCCCTGTGATCCAGCACAGCCTTCAGCACCTCCCTGCGCAACCAGGAAAAGATTATTCTATTTTTTTTTCCAGAGCACATTGCAGAGCAGAAATGCTGCTCTCATGACCTGTGATTGCCTTTAATTTGGTCATATCACATGTAAATATGTCAGGTCCCTTCTCTTCCATGGCATCCTCTCTTGTGATGCCTTCCAAAGAGAATCCCCAAGCTCTTATGCAAAAGCAGAAATGATGCCCAGCAGTAAGCACAACTCCAACAAGGCTCCACTGAGTTACCATTAAACCATATTCCAAAGTTTACCTTAGTTCCTTGAAGGGGTCTGCCCTGACATTGGGAGTTTCTATAGATTTAGGGAACACTGTGCCTTCTGCTCCTGAAATCACAAAACAAAACAGAAGACAAATTGTAAACATTATGAGCTGTTATCAGGGGAGTGATTGTCAAATCATACCTAGGTGCAATTTAACCCATTGCCTGACCCCATGCCTTGCTTGCACACCCCTTCTGTCCCCAAAAAAGCCAGACCTTCTTCATCTGCAATGGGTTGCCTTGACTGCACGTGGGGTTTGCCTGCAAACTGCACTTCTGGCTGGAAAAGCAGGTGCTTGCACCCTGACTTGGGGAGAGTCTGCTGACTCAATTGATGCAGGGAGCTTGGGAAAGACACCCTTTGCTAACCAGGCATCTAATCCAGCTGCATCCCTCATGGAAGAACATGGATGCATGTCACATCATCATTTCTTTCACTGGGCTCTCAGAGATACACAAGGGAGAAAAGCAGATTTTGACTGGATCCCTGCAAGCCCCTCTCCAGTCAGGCTGTGCTCCTGCCTGGGTAAAAGGAGGGAGGTGCAGCCTCATGCAGGGCAGCACAAGCAGACCCTGCCCCGGCCCAGCCAGGCCACCAGTTCAATGTGTGAGCCAGAAATTATTTAACTTCTGCTCATTCCCCCCTCTCTCAGAGACAATGGGGAAGCTGCACTGCCCCATTTGCTGACTGGCTTTAGACTGTTGGGTACTATAAACAGCTTGTCTATGTTCCAGACCCCTGCAATCCTCTTCATGGCCACCTGCACAGCCCAATTGGGCCATTTCACCCAACCATCCCTGAACTGGGTCCATATTCTGTGACCAACCCTGTTCTCTCTTCTCTAGAAAGATGTGCTCTCCTCACATCACTGCAGTGAGCCAAAGCCCTGCCACCCTCTGCCAACCCTTTCCACTGACTGTTCTCATTTAAAATGGGAATCTAATCTGAAATGGTCCCATTTCATCTTTCAGCCACTGAATCTTCTCCAGTCCTTGTGTGCCAACCAGCCTTGCATGAGGAGACTTTAGTCAGACACCGATGACGACCCAACTCCCCCAGCCTGCTCTGATTGTCTGAGAAGTTCTGAGCTTTCTGAATCAATCACTGTGAAGCAAATCCTCTGGACTTCTCACTGCTTTATTTTTCCTGAACCTGTTCTACTTTTAAAACACTCTGTTGGAGCACAGGAGTCCCCAGGTGCTGCCACTGACTCTCTGCTGCAGAACATCACGTTCCTGCTCCCACTGAAACTCCCAATTAAAACACAGCTGAGAGTGGCACTACCTGCCTCACACACAGAGTGTGTGCACTAGAAATTAATGCTCCTGTTCTCCAAGATATAGCTGCCAAGCCAATGAGCAAGTATGACCTATATTCTTCAATTCAGACCTGTGGTCTTGCCTTCAGACACACTGTGAACAATTAGTCACTCTTTACCTGCAGTCATCACAGCATTTTCAGTGTCAGCATGCAGACAGCACTGGTGGCATTTTTTTATTTCTTTAGATTTTAGTCTGATAAAGTTATTGGTGCAAACTACAGACCCTGATGGAAACTTTTACATGTACAGTTTGAGAGCACTCCTAACACATGCTAACTGTTCCCTGTGTGCAGTCTGAAAGTCATCATTACAGAATAACAGATGTTCTGAGATGGTCCAAAACGTGTCATGACAACATCCTGCTGTAACTGCTGCCATAAGTGAGAAACACCTACAACTGCAGTATGACTACACTTTTTTTGCACTGCAATAAATTAACTAAGCTGTCCCAATGTGCAAAAGAAAAGAAATGAGAATGAAAACAAGCACTCTAACATTTATACAAAATTACCCAACTCTTTTTAACCCAGAAAAAACCAAAGTAAACTGAAAGATGATAAAAGCAGCCTAAAGTTTGAAGGTTTATACTTGGGGATTGAAGTTGATCCTATGGCACAATACAGATACTGAGCTTTTAACTTTACTATAAGCTTTCATTGTTACAAGTTGTCATAAGCAGCTGTAACTTGCCAACCATGAAGGTTGTTACTATCAGATCTGTCCTCTCTCAACAGTTTACAAATGATTTAAATCTCTGCTTTATCCAACACAATTGCCTTGGCTCTTGGCTTTGCAATGAAATGTAGCAAAACATCCAGCCTGCACTTATCTGCATAACAGAACAGTGATTTTTGAGGGAAGGAGGATGAGGAGGTGCAGTTGAGATGCACCCAGATATCCTTGTACCCTTTCTACCCACATGGCTTAAATGGTGACTTTATGCTGGGCATTTTAATTTATTTTTAGACACCTTAAGCTGGATACTCAAGTCATGCAAACTCAAAACAACTACCTGCCTGTAACCAGAAGTGCCTGCAGAATAAGGAGAAACTTTAACTTATTCCTAAACTTGGGGTTTTCCAAGCTTTCATTTTTTAGATTAAATTCAGGAAGCAACTTTGGAACCAAGGTCAATGAAGACCCCAATGCAGTCATTTCAAGGAAGTTGAAAATGAAAGAGCTGGGTATTTGTTCTTCCATTTTCTTGTTTCCCCCTCCTACACAGTTCTCAAATCCCCTTTTCCTGCCAGATCCATTAAAAAGTCCCTCATGCATTGGGAACAGGAATGAGATTTCCAAACCTTTCTGTTTCTCTCCTTTGATCTGAATTTGAAGTGAATGCTACCTGCCTTGATAAGGCTTTCTGCCTTGCCTGTATAATTCATATTCTCCTTTAATAACACAGAATGTCCCAAAGGGCCACCTGTCTGTGTCACTGAGCAGGACACCAGCCACGAGGGGATGCTGAGGGACCAGGACTGAGACATCCCTCCCTTGGCTCTGGCTCTCAGCAGCTCAGGGCCCCTTGAATTGGCAGAGAAAGTTTATCAGAAACACTGATAACCTTCCCTCACCTCACCTAAACCTTGTTCTAAGTGTCCCCTTTCTGTAGCAGGGGGCTGATGGATGAATTAAACACTCTGGGGAAGTTCTCCCTGTGGCTTCACCCCACTGCCTGATGATTTCACTAAAGAACTATCCTCTTCTTTCTGTGCTATTGGGAATTTTCTGGGCCCCAATCATGCCCCCTCCCTCCAGCCCCCTCAATTCTACAGTGGAGAGTCTCAATCTCTGCCTGGGGGATCAGCAGCTCATGAGAGGAAAAACTGCCTTGGACTAATTCAGCTCCACTGGATATTTGTGTCAAAGTTTGGCTTTTGGCCACTGTGGAAGTCCCCAGCCAGGCTCTGACAGCACCAGTGTTGGATGGGGTTGAAAGTGAAGGCTGGAGGAAGTGACCTCATTTAGTGGTTTTAGAATCATAGAATCATTGATGTTGGAAAAGACCGAGGATCATGGAATCCAACTGTGACTCAAGGCTTTGGCTAAAAAAGGAAGGAAAGTTTGAGGGAAATGTGCTGCTGTCACTGAATTGGGCTATTCCAGCTCTGCTGAGGGGAACTGGGATGTTATGGAGTAATAAATGATTGAAAATATGAAGTCCAGGGTCATGTGCTTAGAAAGTAATAAAAATTTCTTCTACATGTTAGAGGTTTCCAAGATATAATATCCCTGGATAAAAGCTGAATGCTGCTCATGATTTATGGGAGTGTGACAGAGTCAAAGGGAAGGCAAACACAGCATTAAACTGAAAGGCAAGAAGAAAGTCTAACAGGAATACACACACAAAAAAAGGAAACCACATAATTTTAAGAATCATCAGTGAATCCTCAAACTATTGTGTGCCCCCCCTACTCATCCCCAGAGAGGAAAAACTGCCATGACTGCACAGAGATCTGTCTGTCCTACAAAAGAAGCCTGGAAGGAGTTGGCTGTGCAGCTGAGCAGCAAGGTGTGCTCAGGAAGGATCCTCATGCTGTGCACAAACCCATCAGGAGGGTAAATAACACCAAGGGAAAAGAACCACTGGCCCTAAGCCAATGTTTATATGGGAGCCAGTGCTTATTTCAGTAGCAGTAAACTGGTCCTGAGTATATCTGGGAAGGAAAATGAAGGTTTTCTAGCCAAGAGAGGAGCTACAATGGGAGCAGCTTTTCAGTTAGATGGGACAGACAATATCACAGATCTGAGAAATTCCTGACTGGATGATCTGGTGTCCCAGAACCAAGGGACAATATTTTCAGGACCAGCAATTTCCTTTTGGTCTTGCAGTCCTCTAGTCTTATTTTCACTGTCCTCTACCTGAGAAATTATGGGTTTTGGCAAATGGTATTAACAAATATCTCCAACAGTTCAAGAATCAGCTGCTACAATTTCCCTTTTCAATCAAACCTGCTCTATCCCTCTTCCTCTTTTACTGAGTATAAAGCAAATGTAACCTACATTTATTATTGTACAACACAGTTTCTGCTTCCTGAATTATCAGTTATTAAAACATTTTCTATCTGCCATAAAGACACATACAGAAAATTTCTACTTCATTGCAAAGTACTAATTTTTTTTCATCATATGAGACTCTGCTGCTGCTGAGGGTAACTTATGTGCAATCAGCCAAAGACAGAAGAAAACAATAATATCATTAGGATTTAAACACACTGTACTGTACATCCCTAGCCAATAAATTATTCTTTCTCACAGTATTATATCAGAGAAGCTTCTATTATACTGATTCCCTCTTCTGACACTGTGTAATTTACCACCGATAAATGTTCATAAACAGTTTGACTGAAAAATCCATAAAGCCATTTCAGCTTTATTTTAAGTCCCATTTAATGTCCCTCAAAGATGATTTCATCAATGTGTTTCCATTAGCTGGTTCTCTGCCCAATAACTTAATTCCATACAATCAGTCAGGAACTTATACAGCATATGACAGGATCAACCTGAAGTATTTTGAATCACCATAAAGATTCACTCAGAGAGTATTTTGGGGTTTTTTGGCTTTTTCCCCCCTTGCAGTGCACAAGGTGTGGGGTGTCAAAGACCCCTGTATGTGCTCACTTCATTCAAGAACAAAAATCAAGAGTTTCACGGCAAGAGAACATTTCCAGTCCAGTTCTAGGGTTTGGACATGGAGGAGCACAAATGCCCCAGGAAAGAAGCAAATCTCAGCTGGAAGGGG